TGTGTGTGTGTGTGTGTGTGTGTTCTGTGTGTGTGTGTGTGTGTGTGTGTGTGTGTGTGTGTGTTTCCTCGCCTTACCCAAATCCATCTATTATTCTCATAAGAGAGAAATGCATTGTGAGAGAGACGATCACCACAGTCGCCCTTTCGTTTGACCCAAAGATACTCGCTGGGAGAGTAATAATGGAACAAGTGCCCTACATAAAGAAACGAGAGTAATGTGTGTCTGGACAGGAAGTACAAGATAGTACCCGGGAACTGTTTAATCTACTCCTTTGGAATCTCAACGGACTGGTCCTTTGATGATGACATGGACCAACTCTTTAACTGCAAGGTACGTCTATCTAATAAGTGAATGGAGTTTCGTGCTGTTAGATGATGCAATATATGTCTATATATATGCGCCCTGTCTTTTTGTCTGTCTTTTCTTTTTTCACTCTCTCTCTCTCTCTATCTATCTACCTATCTCTCTTTCTCTCTGTCTGTCTGTCTCTGTCTGTCTCTTCTGTCTCTCTCTCTCTCTCTCTCTCTCTCTCTCTCTCTCTCTCTCTCTCTCTCTCTCTCTCTCTCTCTCTCTCTCTCTCTCTCTCTCTCTCTCTCCTCTCTCTCTCTCTGTCTATCTTTCTATCTCTCCCTCCACGCTTTTTACCTCTCCATTTCAATCTCTCTCCCCTTTCTATATGTATAGATAGATACTGTCTTGGATTATTCTACGCATATGATTTCCAGGTTTACTGCTTCGACCATACTATTCATAAAAGAGACCACCAACGTTCTAAAAATATAAGATTCTTGGCAACGGGAATCTCATCAGTGAAAAGAAACCAGGTAAAATCGATTAATATTTTTTTCCTAATAACAGGTGTGTGTTTGTGCATAGTATTGAATTAGTATATGTGGATATGTTTAATGCTTATATATTTTTCATGGTGTGTGCAAGCTCTTTTTTGTTGTTTGTTTGTGTGTGTGAAATGCACTTTGTATTTTTCATTTTTTCCCGTTCATTGGTAATATGAAGGCCTTAACATCCTTTCTCTAAGTCTGTACAAATGTATTTTTTCCTTTAATAAATACAAATAAGTAGGAGGTCACTTCATAATAGAAAACACGAAGAGAAAATATGTTCCAAGAATGAATTTCTCCCAAGACGAAAGAGAAGAAACACACACACACAAAGTGAAGCAAATCACGAGGACTTGCAATCCACAGATTAACACTTTACATATTAATGGCGCTAACGCAATTTTAACATCTTTTGCCAAAATGGTAAAAGTCAGTGAAGGTCAACCTCATACACTCTTGCTCAAAGTCTAACCTTGCTGACTACACATCTTTATTCATTCACACTCTGAAAGAACATAAACGTAGATTACACACTGATGTGCAATCAGAAATGCAAATTAAACCTAATCAATAAATCGAAGATTCTTGCCCACAGGTTGATCGGTACATTAACATCCTAAGGAGGTTTGGCCACGAGAACGCCACCATAGACTACCTGAAGATGGACGTCGAAGGAGCAGAGTTGCAGTTCTTCGAGGACGTGTTCACCAATACGCCTGAGGTGCTGAACAACATCAAACAGATCGGAATGGAGATCCACGCAACGAGAAACAGTAAGCAATCACCCGCATCGAATCCAGCATATCGTAAAGAGTGTTAAAAGATCCGTAATTTGGATCCGTTTCGACGGTCTGAAGCTTCGAGTTCGTAGTGTGATTCGGTTGGTGAATTGACTAATAGACGAGGTGTTGGGGATTTCTATTTTGGGTCTTCTATTTTTTTCTCCTACTTTCTTTTTTCTCCGTTTTATTTTCTTGTTCATTTTTTTTCATCCAATTTTGTTTGTACTATCAAAAACATTTCACTATCCGATATTCTCTCTCATTTTGACTTTATTTTTTAAGATACGAGATTTAGCCTATATTATGCTGAAAACGTTATGGTTCACAATGACCATTAATTTAAAATAAAAATCATCTGGAATTTTGAAAATCGGCATCCTTCCATTGCATTTCCTGTAAAAAAAAAAAAAAATTGACCTGCGGATCCTGACATGCATAGCCCACCCAACCTGGTTTTAATCTGATAATGTTTAAAGATGATGTATGCAAACGACGTTACAAAACTGTACAGGGTCTCCAGATACCCAGTGACCATTCTTTGCTATTAAAGAAAACAGTTTTCTCTGCAAGGGTAACTATTATATTTTTTTTTTCTTTTACAAAAAAAAAAAAAAAAAAAAAAGTTGTTAACAGAGAATGATCCTAAAATTAAACCGTATCTATGTCTTTTTTATGAATATATATGAAACCAGTGACCTTTTTCCCATTCCCCCCCCCCCCCCACATCAAGTTTGAAATGGATAGCCTGACATTTTTTGGCATGAATGTATTCATGTTTGATTGATGTACTTAAATTGCCATTTATTTGATCTAGTTGAATTTCTTTTTACTATGATCTCATGTGTATATGAATAATTAAAGATAGGAATCTATTAAAAAAAAAGAAAAAAAAAAGAGAGAGAGAGAGAGAGAGAGGTACCTTTTCAAAATATGTTACAAGTGATTTACCAAAAGTCTCATGACAAAATACACACACACACACACACCACACACACACACACACACACACACACACACACACATATATATATATATATATAATATATATATATATATATATATATATATATAATATATATATATTTTGTGTGTTTGTATGGGTGTATATATGTGTGTGTGTGTGTGTGTGTGTGTGTGTGTGTGTGTGTGTGTGGTGGTGTGTGTGGTGTGTGCGTGTGTGTGCGTGCGTGTGTCATCATTAGGTTTTAAAAATAATAAATAAATAAATAAATCATAAAAAAAAGAACAATATTAGAATAACTATCTTTTCCCAATGGCTACATCTCAGTTCTTTACTTTTACCTAGAGCACGGTCCAGCGCCTAGAGTTTTGTTCTGATCGGAAAACGTTATCGAAACCGGCTTTTTAATAACGATATAATGAGCAAGGTGTAAAATGTTTTTGTCCAATGGCACCCAGGCCCCCCCCCCAAAAAAAAAAAGAGAAAAAAGATTATATATTGGCCTTTTATACGACTTCTACATAGTATTGAATTGGTTAACGACCCTTTTAGAAAACGGTACACATCGCTATGGACGGTCCCATTGGTATTTTCAATAAATTTCAACTCTGGAAATATCATCAACATATTGTCATTTACCCATCTTACTTTTGTGCTGTAAATGTCCCCCTTAAATATGTATTTACTGTATGCCTAACTATGCACGATTTCCTGTACCATAAACACACAAATACCAAGATATGGAATAACAAAATCTCTTCTTCCACAGAGAATTACATGAAACGCTACATGAGATATTTCGAACTTCTAGAATGCTTGGGCTTCAGACTGATGTTCAGTCAAATGATAGACATAAATGCACTTCTGTACAAGAAGAATGGCAAAACGCGGTCCTGCTGTTATGAACTGATTGTGGGCGCGAGATAAAGAATGGTAGAGAGCGAGGAGGTGGAGGTGGCATAGCTCAGTGGTAGAGCGCTGGCTTGGCAATCGCAGGGTCCTGGGTTCGCGCCCGGCTGCTCCTCTCGGTTGATTCAGCTGTGAATGAACACTGGTATGCTGACGTCGGCATGTTGGGGTCAAAGTCGGGGTGGAAAGGGACTGGCCACCCTACCACATCATCCCGCGGCTTAGTAAGCATGTTCTTTACAAAACATGTCCATTACGTCCAGATGGATATGGACCAACTTGGACTATGAGAGAGCGGGGTGGCACTGAAGCCTCTGTGTGATCTGCGGCGGCGTTGTGAAGCCCCCAAGAGAACTTTTGTAAATTTCAAAGGCACTGTTTATTCTGCGGATACGTTATTTTTTTGTACGTTGTGACGAGTTCATTTGAAATATATTTGTGATTGTGTGAATATTTTCATGCACATTTGTGCGTATTGACATCACCCCTTCATAGAATTTAGTAAATGAATTGGAAGAATACTGTTTTGGAATTTTAGTGTTGATGCTGCCGTTCAAATCATTTGGTCTGCGTCACCAGATGAGAGTTAGTACATTATGCATTTAGTTTATACTATTTATTATTAAATAAAGGTGAGTAGGGGAATTGTTTGCCACTTGAATATTCACAAAATATCGTTGAATTTGACCTGTTTTGTTTTTATTCACATATATATCTGTACATATCTCTCTATCTCTTTATATAAACGCAGACATACAATAACACACACATACACACACACGTATATATATATATATATATATATAATATATTTATATATATTATATATATATAGAATATATATATATATATATANCCTTCGTAATACATGAAATAAATGGAGATATCCCTATCGATCAATCATGATAATATAATGATAATGATAATGATAAATGAGTTCAATGACATATGATAATGATGATGATAATGATAATGTACTACTCACTATCTCGTCTGCGTCACATGGCCCAGATGGAGATGGAATATGAGGTAGCGATCGTCCGTGACTGTCGATCGATGAATCTCCCAGATACTCTCAGAGAGGAGGAAGGAAGGAGAATCTATGCAGGTCAGAAGGAGGCGAATACGGAAGAGGAGATCACTCACTCAATCGATAGATCCTACATCTCTCGATCAATGTCAACAACGTTCAATCTCTCTATATGATGATGGTCACTCTCTCAGATACTTCTTATGCTGCTTACTCTCTCATGCACTTCTCTCTCTCTGTCTTCTCATCAACATCACTATAATAACTTGCCATACAACTACAGTTATAATAAAAATAATCATGATAAATAGACTAACGTAGTAATAAGAGTGAGCTATAAATAATTACGAGCAACTCACTAATACTTCATACCAATAACCGCAACAATAACAATAATGACAGTAAGGAAAATACCATCAATAATAAAAATAATGAAAATTGGCATGGATCTCCATGACAGTAGTAAAGACAACTCTCATCAAAATCTCAATCAATTCAGGCTAAAATCACCCTTAATGCGAACATATCTGAACCTAACACAAGCAAATATTGATGTTGCATTTAGGTTTCTTCAGAATAAGAGCGTGCAACTTCAGTAAGAACAACATCCTTCATTCTAGAAAGACATTGAATAAATGATCTAATGAGATTTGATGATTTTATTATTCATTGTTTTGGTAACGATTGAGGATATGTTTTAGGGAGAATGATGGAGATGAGAACATGATAAACACATTAAAAGAGAATTCACCGTTTAAACATCCGAAGAAGATGTAATAAAAATTGGACTAAGTTTGATGTTATATCTAATAAAGAAACTACGACTATTACTGCGTGACAATCACTAGAATTGAATAAAAACAATTAAACATCACTCAAAATAATGTAGTTTTTTTTCTGAGATTAGATATCAATTTACCACAGTGGCTAAATAGGCTTTGATATCTTCAATTGATCGTAACAGGAAAGTACAGTCTTGCATCATACCATTACATCTTCAAATATTTTTGAATGTATCAATATAATGAGAGTTACATGCCCTTTTCTACTTTGATATCCTAAAAGAGTGAATTCCATGACATGACATGGCGACCAAAGGTGTTGTCATGACCATGCAATTCCATGACATGACATGGCGACCAAGGTGTTGTCATGTGTAATTCCATCATGACATGGCGACCAACATGACCAACTAAAATATTATCAATATTTTTTGTTAATCTAAAGTCTCATCTATCTCATCTACAACATCAGTATCGGAATGTTCGCTCTTACCTCATGACTGTAGCACATTAATGTTTTTTGAGCTTCATTACAGCCAAAACGTCTTGTTTTTAATTTTGTTTTTTGCCTGGTGTGAATTTAGATATTTCGAAGTCAAAAATTGGTTGCAATGTTCCACAACATGTAATAACTACCAGGTATATGGGAATGTGTAAATAAAATCAAAACTCTCATCATGTGTGTGTGTGTGTGTGTGTTCCTGATCAAGAAACTTCTGAGCCTATAAAACTGTCCAAAACAGCTGTTAGACGAGTTTTACGATGTCTTACGGAGCAAGAGTAAATGGCAGAGAGGAGGATAAATACATGCGTGAATACATACACATACACATATAATGTATATGTATGTATATATATGTATAATATGCACCCCACAACACACACAACACACACACACCACACACACACACACACACACACAACACACACACACACACACACACACACACACACACCACACACACACACACAGAAAACACATACACTCAACACATACACACATTTATGCATACATACATTAAGGAATCGTTACACAGGTGAAAATTTTTTTGTTTGGCAATTTCCGCTAAGCCCCGCGCCCCGCCTCCATTATATACCAGTCAATAATATAACACATCATATACATATATACCATATATCATCTTGCAGAGAGAGATCGGGAGAAAGAGAGAGAGAGAGAGAAAAAGAAGACAGAGAGAGAGAGAGCAACTACGCAAGACATCGAGAGACGAGAACAGAAATCGTCACAGAGCAGTAGCAGTGGAGAGAGAGCCAAGAATAGACAGAGAGAGAGAGAAAAGACAAGAGACGAGAACAGAAAAGACAGAGACATGCATCAGAACAGAAGTACGGCCAAGAGAGAGCAAAGAGAGAGAGACGAGAGTAGAAGAGCACGAGAGAAAAGAAACAGATAAAAAACAAAAAAAAAAAAAACCCCCACACTCACTCGTACTCATTCCCCGGTCGCCTTCAACGCACACCCACCTCCCACCTCCCACCCTCCCACTCCTCCCGCCCTCTCCCTCAGTCTCACACATCCCTATCATGACTCATCAAGTCCCCGATCCTGCGATCTCTTCTGCCTTCTTATCTCTCAGAACGTGGCCAAAATGCTAGTATTCATGCTGCAGAGTAACAGATAGTATCTAAAGATGAAAGCGGATTAGCACACAAAGGGAGAGAGGTAGGGAAGAGTAGCTTGGTTGAGGCTGTCGTGTCGATTCGATACATAGAGTGATTGCTAGTGAACGAGGTGTCATGCTACTTCTGTATGATCTGTCCTTATGCAATTGCGTGTATTCTTAGACTGCGTATATCACTCGTTCCGAGAGGATATTATCTCGAATATCTCTCGTAAACGTCTTTCGATAAACTGTCTAGTGACTGCGAACCGACATGAGCCTAGACTTCGGCTTCCCTCTTGTGCGCTTGTGCGCTCGTCTGCTTCGTTCGTTGCCTGTCTCTCTATCGTTGTTCTGAGTTCGATGCTGCTGCTTCGTTCGTCTCCTAGTGTCTGAGTTAGTCTCCTATATCTGCTTAACTATCTAGTGTCGTTTCTAATTATCTATCCGCGACTTATCAGTATCTCACCATCATATATCAGCTTTATTACTCTATCGTTTCTCCATCACACATAACTTACTCGCTCATAATTATTCATTTCTATTCGCTTATTAGTCATTATTCATATACTTTACTCTCATCTCATATCTCAGTATTCATTCAATTCATCGCGCTAATCATTATCTATTCTATTTTATTAATTGTATTTCATTATCATCACTTCCACTTCATCTATTATCAGTCTATCTATCATACTATCATTCACTCTTCACAATCGTCATTCATTAAATTATTATCACTTTATATTTATATAAACGATGTTTCATATACTCTACCCTCTCTATTAATTCTCTACTCATTTGTCCATTCATCTATCTCCATTCACTTACTTCATTCGTTATTCTCATCCTCATATTCGATCCACATCATCAATCTCACTTAAAATTATCATTACCGATTATTATCAAGCATTACTTATTCTCACTCATCATTTCATCTACTTCTATCATCTCACTAACTCAATTACTCATTTCGTAATCAGTATCCTACCATTCTTATGCATTATCTTATTGCTATTATCATTCAATACAGTAAGCTATCATTCTATTGTTCTATCCTCACTCATATCCATTAACATTCCTCCAATTCATGTTCATCTATACTCATTATCACACCCTCATTCATGTATTATCCAATCATTCACATTCACTCGTCCATATCCATAACTATCTTCACTCTATCTCACATCTACTCAAATCACTTCTATCCTAATCTATACTTTCATTGTTACAATGAATCGTATTATTATCCATACTACACATTTATTAACTATACAGTAGTAAGTAGCAGTAATCATTACTCATTCATCCACTAACTATGTTTAAATCTAGCGATTCCTTATATTCTCAATTGTACACTCATCCTTAGTCCACTATCAGATAATCTATATTATAATTCTCATATATCTATTGCGCTCTCTATATCATTGAATCTAAGTCATTACTGATTATGTAGATTATATCGATAATCCCAGTAAAGATCCTAACTACCAGTTATTAGTTATTATTCATAATACAACTACTGTAGATGTAATTATATCAATACATATTGAGAGATATATGATTTCAAATTTCTCATTACCCTCAAATAGTAAGTACCATGACATCATAAACTTTTACTATTATCATTACTACTCTTTAACCATTATCAGTCATTATCCATTACGCAATCATAATTAAGCATAATTGCTAGTACACTGTTATCATATTTTTATTGCAGTATTATTACAACTACTATTACTGTTACTGCAACTAGTCTTATTTTTATTTCTATGTAAGATTATCAATAATAGTCTTAACATTATCCTCATTACTATGTATATTATCATTATGATACTGACAAAAAGAATCATGACTATCATTAACATCATTTATCATTATCTTATCCCCATTTTCCTTCATTATCATTGTCATTATATTATCCCTATTTTCCTCATTCTCATTGTCATTATATTTATCCTATTTTCCTCATTACCATTGTCATTATCTTTATCCTCATTATCATTGTCATTGTATTTATCCTATTTTCCTCATTACCATTGTCATTATATTTATCCTATTTTCCTCATTTATCTTATCCTATTTATTATCATTGTCATTATATCTATCCTATTTTCCACATTGTCATTATCTTTATCCTATTTTCCTCCTTATCCTCCTCCTCATCCCTCTC